CAGTGGTTAGAATGCAGTACTGCAGGCTACTTCTACTGACTGCCGACTGCCTGCAATTTGGCAGTTTGAATCTCACCAGCTCAAGGTTGACTCGGCCTTCCATCCTTCCGAGGTCGGTAAAATGAGGAGCCAGGTTGTTGGGGACAATATGCTAACTCTGTTAACTGCTTAGAGAGGGCTGGAAAACACTGTGAAGCGGTATATAAGTTTAAGTGCTATTGCTAAACTGTTTGTTGGATCAGTGTAATATTAGCATACTATTACTTGAATCAACGTCCCTAGTAGGATGGATTTAGAAGCACATGTTATCATTGCCCCATTACAGAGGTCAAGAATGATCACAGTTTAATGATGCAATAGTATTCCAACCTGACTCCAGTCTTTTTTGGTTGTCCAAAAGTGGAATTCTGAAAGACTAATGTAAATATTTAAAGTTTGTACTATAATTAGGCTAACCTTTGAAAGTTTTAAAGAGCAAACTAATCAATAAAGTGCCCCCCTTGTTTTAACCAGTAACTAAAAATAGAAATGTGGGAGGAAAGTGCAGGCTATTTTGATAGTGTGATCATTATTTAATTAGCCATCATTCCATAAGTAAACTTACATTATACAGTTTAAGTGGACTAGAAAGTGGGACAATGATAAAAAAAAAATCTGTGCATCTGAATTAGAATTCTAGAATTGTGAATTTATGAAGTTCTTGTATTTTTAATGTTTTCCCCCCACTTATGTTGACTAACAATCTTGGGAAGCAGCTGTAGATTGGAATCAGTGGACAAAAAGGAGGGAGGTTTTCCCCCAATTCTCAAGAAATTTGAAATGCAGAAAAACGCAACCTGATTTTCTCTCTTGTTAAATCATTGTTGGTTTAGATATTTTGTTGCCAGTGATTTATTCATTGCATTGATACCGGGTCCTTCAGATAATCTAGAGCAGATAGTATTTAGCCTTTTTAAAAATTTCACAACAAGGGAAGCTAGCCACAATTGCAGTTGAAGACATGGATTGCCTAATAATAGCCATGGGAGAATTGGAAGATAATTTCCCTGAAAAGTACACATTTGAGAAAGCGATTTATCAGATGCAGATACAAACAAGAGAAGAAGAGGAGATCAAGGTTATCCACTTTCAAAGTACAAGTACAGTATGCTTCTTCTTGAACCTTTCTTGTGTTTCTCCTCTCATAGGTGGAACAGATCCTATCTGAATTCCAGCTACGGGAAGAAGATTTGAAGAAGGTGATGCGTCGGATGCAGAAGGAAATGGACCGAGGCTTAAAACTGGAGACGCATGAGGAGGCCTCGGTGAAGATGTTGCCCACATATGTACGGTCCACACCAGAAGGATCAGGTACTTGTTGCCTCATTAGAAATGGATGATGGGAGATGCAAACTTAAACTCTTATTTTTTAAATCTCCATTGCATTGTCCAAAGACTATCCTGGAATTGTAGTCCTGGGCTAGAAATAGAAGCATGCTAATGTTAGCCAACATCTTATTGAAATGCCCACTAAATCAGTCATGGGGTTCTTCTGGAGGAAATTGGTCCAGGTTGTTTTCCAAAGACATAAATTGACATGGTGTCACACTCTGGGGTTACAGAAGTTGGAGATTTCCTATCTTTGGATCTTGGAGGTACCAATTTCCGAGTGATGCTGGTCAAAGTGGGAGATGATGAGGAAGGGCAATGGAAGGTGAAGACAAAACATCAAATGTACTCCATTCCAGAAGACGCCATGACAGGAACTGCTGAAATGGTGAGTTGATCATCAGGCCAAAATGAGAGGTGGGCTAGATTTTCACAACACAACAAGCTATTCAATGTATATGCTGCCCCACTCACTGATAAGGCACCTCTGCAGAGCAACTCAAAAGAGACATAATCTATGGAATTTTATATATTGGTCAAATTCCAAAAAAGCTTCAAGTTCCTACAACTACTAGAAAGTCACTGCAGTGTAGTGATTAAAGTGGATGGACTAATCCTGGGAAGATCCAAATTCATGTTTCCGTCCAGTCATGGAAACTCACTGGGTTTCCTTGAGTTAGTTTCTCTTGATCAATTAAATCTGCCCCATGGTTTGGTTGGTTCATTGAAGCCATGTTTAAGTCAACAGTTAAGCCAAAGTTGTGTAGAAGACGGTGTTTCAGCAGCTATTACATGTTACAAAAATATCACAATTATCAAAGTCCTACTGGGTTGTTGGAAGGACAAGGGTTCCTTGCTCCCACCCTAGGATCTTGTGTCTTGCTTGTTGTCAAAGAACTTGGGTTCTTGAATAAGCATTTTGCAAGAAGTGAAAGAAAATATTCACAAAAAGGGCAATAGAATTTTTGTCTCTCTCTCCCTCAGCTCTTTGATTATATTTCGGAATGCATCTCCGACTTCCTGGGCCAACATCAAATGAAGCACAAAAAGCTGCCTCTGGGCTTTACATTTTCCTTCCCTGTTCGACATGAAGACATTGACAAGGTGAGATCTGAAACCAGGAATTTGGAATGATTCCTGCTTTTGACTGCATGACTTTCTCAATGGAGCTGATGAATCAGTCATAATCATGTAGCCCAAAACTATTGGAGGGTGTGATGTTCCTTCTGTCTCCATGTGAGGGAAGCCAGGGAGATAATATGCTAAACAACCAAACAAGTAAAAACCCAATCCCCTTGTGCTATGGAAGCTCAGAAGATGATCAATTTCTATAGAAAATTACTTTTGTTTTAAAACAAAGTGAAGTACTTTGGTGGTGTCAGCCTTGAAATTCAGCATAAAACCTAGATAAGGATAGAGGTAGTTCTTATCTTACCATCATTTGTTTAATGACTGCCTGAAGTTACAACGGCACTGAAAAATTGAGTTCCACTAACGTGCAAATCTGCCAAGGGAAATGTGTGACTCTCCTAGTGTAAGTGGATGCATTGCAAGTGAGAGCTTCCAGACAGATTCTTTAGCATTGAACAGACCATGTTAGCCATGAACCATTGTATGATTTCTGTAGGATTGCAGACATTTTGCAAAATTATAGCAATCCTGCATTGTTGCTTTATCTCCTATAAAAATATTAAAGGGGAGTCAATAGATTTCTTACTACAGTAGCTGCTAATGAGACGGTCATAAGCCATTGTATTTTATAACTTCAGTTTTTTATTTTGTCTCTTTTCTTGCTTTTCTTTTTCTTTCTTCTTTCTTGTCTTATCTTTTTCTTTAGGTTTGCTTTTTTACCTGAGTCAAAATACTCAGTAAATATAGATTTTAAAATTTTCTTACAGCAGTGTGAAGAGTTTGTGAGGATGTTGTCATTCTCACTTGAAATCTAGTCCAAGATGATCAAAACCAGACAATCTTCAATTATCCTCCATTGCTGGTTCCCTACATCTGCAGGCCTTTCCGATTACGATGTGGCTTTTCGCTTTGCTCGAGACAAACTTGATATATTTATCTATATTGTTTGTTACGGCCATGGAGTTGTGCTTGTTTTGCAAAGTTTGGTCTGATTCTTTCCATGTTCTGATTTGTAGGGAATTTTGTTGGTCTGATTCTTTCCATGTTCTGATTTGTAGGGAATTTTGTTGAACTGGACAAAAGGCTTCAAAGCATCTGGAGCTGAAGGGAACAACATTGTGGAGCTTTTGAGAGACTCTATCAAACGAAGAGGGGTGAGAGCAATCATCATTTGAAAAAAGCCTGGCTTCTTTTCAGCTAATTCTCAGGATCAGCCTTCTAACACATTGGGCGGCTTACTCATTAAACATGACCCTGTCTGCTTCAGGGGTGGGTTGCTAATCCCGTTCCAACCGGTTCGGTTGGAATGGGGCCGGCGGCGTCCTCGTGCACGCGCGCAGTTCACGCATGCGTCTTAGCACCTGCGCGATGCTCCAGCTGCTCGCGGAGAATCGNGGCACCCTGAGGAGGCCAACTCTGTGGGATCACACTGGACGGTGGGAGGCTACCAGTGGCAGTAGGTGGTCTCGCAAGATGGTGATTATGTACCATCCAGTCATTTTCAGCTCCTGGCAAACACATAGGATAAAGGTAGCCCTCAATTTACAACAGTTCATTTAGTGACCGTTTGAAGTTATAACAGCAGTGAAAAAAGTAAGTTACGACCATTTTTCATACACTTACGATCATTGAAGCATGCCTGTGGTTAGGCGATCAAAATTCAGAGGATTGGCGGCTGCCTCATACTTCATTTACGATGGTTGCAGTGTCCCCTGGGTCATGTGATCTCCTTTTGCGATCTGACAAGCAAAGTCAATGGGGAAACTAGATTCACTTAACAATTGTGTGACTAACTTAACACCTGCAGTGATTCACTTAAGTCTGGCAAGAAAGGTCGCAAAACTCACTTAACGAATGTCTCACCTAGCAACGTAATTTTTGGCCTCAATTGTGGTTGTAAGTCAAGAACTACTTGCAGCCTTTTCCATGTTCAACTGTCCCTAACCTGGTCTTCGTGCAACTGTATATACAAATAAGTAATATTATTCTGCATTTCTAAACCCTATAGTAATATTCAGATTTCATTGACAAAGGAAATTCAGTTAAATTTCAATGGATTCTTTTTCTTCTTCTTGAAGTTGTTTGATTTTCCAAGTCTAAAACCAACTCTTGCTTAATGCCAGTGAGATCTTATAAGGAGCTAAATTGTGCCTGGGTTAGAAATCAAAATGCAGGGTGCAGTTTGAGGGGAGATTATAAAATAGAGGTTAAGATGAATTTCAAGGTTGGAGGTCTCCTTTGGTCTCCTGTTTTTTCTCTTATCTATTTGAACAGCACATGTAATTTAGAATGACTCTTTTTCATCAGGTAAATGTTTTAGTGCAGCATCCAGATTTCTAGTCAACCATTAACTCCAAGACGTAGTTTCTCATCCAAACAATAAATCAGCTTCTAGCTTGAACCCTTCAGACAGTAATTCATAATCCTTTTTTTGCGGTTAGAAAGTTACCTTTACATGGACAACTAGCACACTAGGACAAGAATAACAGAGTTGGAAGGGACCTTGGAGGTCTTCTAGTCCAACCCCCTGCTCAGGACGGAAATTTTCAGACAAATGGCTGTCCAATCTCTTCTTCAAAATTTCCAGTGTTGGAGCATCCACAACTTCTGGAGGCAAGGCGTTCCACTGATAATTGTTCTCACTGTCAGGAAATTCTTCCTTAGTTCTTGACTGACATCTCCCTCCCCTCCTCCCCCCCGATTATGGATCTATTTTATGATCAGCATTCCCACTATTACTGAAGTTCAGAGTATGAGTTTGGTTGTTCAGAAAGCTCTACTCATGTTCCCCAAATGTCAGCTCTAGCTTGCACTTAGACAGGAGATCTCATGCGACCATGGGAAGTTGAAAAAAAATACCTTGGCAGGAAGCATTGGATATCTCCTAAAGATATGGGTTTCCTGGGTCCTTGGCTATGGAAAAAGATCTAGAATATGTTAAGGTCTGGTTGTTCCCATGCAAATTGAGCCATACTGGAAATATTTTTCAAGAGTCGTGTCCCAGCTCCTTTCCTGTTGTAGAGGGAGAGAGGTAACCATTGAAGCATGCAAATATCCCTCCCCTGCTAACTCATTCTGCCTCTTCTCTGTTGACATTGAGACAACAGACAAAAAAAAAATGTGGTTTTCCAGCCAGTTTTGGGAACCTTGAGTTTGAGATAACATTTCATAATGATCTGATTCAGTCTAGGTTGTTCCTAGATAATGTATCTTTTTTTTCTACTTTTTTTTCCAATTGCTAAAGAAGTACATAAAATTGGGAGAACATCAAAGTCTATCCAATCCCAACTCTTACAAAAGCCCCATAATGTTAGATAGAACACGATAGATTTTTCCTCTATCTCCATGTATGAACAAAAAAAGTCCTTTATTTTTTATACAATATTTTTGGTTTATTCATGGGTTTGATATGTATGTGGATTTTAAATTTGTTCATTGCCTGGATTTTTTTTAAGCTATGGATTCTTTTTAGGATATACATATAACTTCTCAGTCATGGGGCTAATGTGTACTATATTCATANGGGGGGAGACTGTAGTCTGTATTACCTTCCCTTTCCCCACAGTATCTAATTTTATAAACCACAAAGTCGTCTGTGATTTCTCATGCCATTTCCTCTCATCAATATTGTCTAAGCAAATACTGCTTACCAAGTGCAAGATTTCCAGCCAGGAAAATTAGATTCCGTGTTTTATATTCTGATGAGTCTTCCTGCTTCAGCTCATACTGTCTGGATATTTCTAAGCAAATAAAACAATCCAAGACACAACTTCAAAGCTTACAACAAGGGCTTTTTATTCCATGGATGAGTGCCAGACTCACCGAAAAAACATACACCCTTCATGCCACTGAGGGAATGGGATTTGTAGTTCATAGAGTTCTCAAATATGCCTCTCCGACCTTCATATTGTTAGTGCAACACTCTCTGCTGTTGCATTATATTGCTAAACTAATAGTTAAGTGGAACAGGCCAGGTCATTACATGATCTTTTAAATATTAACTCTGTGGCGGGAATAACCATTCAACAGAGGAAGAGAAATCTGTCAAAAAAAAAAAAAAACCACAACCCCACCCCCACTTTGGATCTCGTGCAAGAAAGAGGACATTCGAAGTTTGTACATCGTTTGTTCCATTGCCATAATACAGATGACTGCTTTCTTCTGCAACCTTTCTCGAGTTAATTTTAATGTCAATTTGGGCCAGGTTTGTGCACGGAGAGAGAAAATAAACTTGGAAATACTTTTTGTATTAATCAGCAACTGGGAAACAAGATTGTTCATTGAAAATGATTACAAAGAAAGAAGGAAGCTGCATTCATATGGCCCATGAATGTGCCCCAAGGAAGAAATCATGATTTATAAATATCAGAAGCTGAATCAAGATAAACGGGGGGGGGGGGGAGAGGGAGATATTATGGGCAGCACAGGTGAATATCTAATATATGAGCCTCTGTGAGCCGTAGCATATGGAAGATTGTGATTAGAACATAAGAGGAAGAAATGAATGTAGAAACGAGATGGAAGATAAATAGAGATGTTAAGTACAATGAAGAGAAAGGGGAAATATTTAAAGGTCAGAATGAAAGTGGGTTAGGGTTTTTTTGGGAACAGTTGATGCAGGGAAGTGAATTAACAAGTTCAGTTGGGAATGAAAGGGTTAATTAGAAAGTTTGAACTGGTATCGAGATTACTGGAATTCATAGAAGATTGATAGCTGTATTGTATGCTTTAGTGAATGGTGATAAGAAAAGAACTAGATAGGAGTTTCAGGAAAATTTCTGCAAGGTTCTGAATGAATGAAATTCAGAAGAAAATGTTAGATCACATAAATAGAGAAACATGAAAGAGACAAAAAAAATAAAGAATAAGTACTTCTGCCATCTGTAGACACAAAAATGAAGGAAGGAACAACAATTGTTTGATGGCGATCTACTTAGAAGAAAGTCTGTTCATTTTGAATCATAATTTAAGTATTTGTAATTCTGCTGAAGTTGTCATAGCAACTGTTCTACAGAGAAGTCTAACTGGGTGTTCTTTCGCTTTTATTCTTATTCTCCATTTGAAAATGTTCATATCCAATAACAACTTTATTCTTGCTTAAACTCTGAGCAAACACAATCTCCTTTTGGCTCACCTCACAAGGTTGATTGCAGGCAATCATTATGTTTACACTTGTTAATATAACCAGGGCCCCCCGGTGCCCTCGGAAAAGGACATTTCTATTTCCGGGCTTAATATTAATGCTAGCTTAATTATCTGAAGATATGCATAGATAGACACACCAAACCTTAAATTCAAATTATTAAAGTATAGTGTTCAAATACTGTAGTATGCTATGCCCACAATTACTTTTTTTTCTGGCTCAATGAAGGGATGTCCAACCTTGGCTACTTTAAGACCTGTGAACTTTCAACTCCCAGAATTCCCCAGCCAGCATGGGGAAATTAAAGTTGCCAAGGTTGGACACCCCTGGTATAATATATGAGTCTGATTCCATTAACAACAAAGGAGATGACATGAAACCTGGTTACTTGAGGTACCACTGCCTTCCCATAACATTTGCCTGGCAGTTTTGATCCCACAGGGCTGGCACCAGAGGTGGGCTTCTACCGGTTCGCACCGGTTTGAGGGAACCGGTAGTGGTAATTTGGCCTTGGTCGCAGAACCGGCAGCAACCCAGGCTGGCCACACCCCTGAACCTGTTCCCTGATCGCCGCTGCCATTGTCAGCATGTTTTTAAGTAGTTTGCACAGAACAATTTACAGTGAACTGCAAAGCGGGTGGAAAACAAACTGGTATTAACACCGGTAGAAACCCACCTCTGGCTGGCACCCTCATGTTCCTTCATTTATACCATAATCTCTCAGTGACATTGACCCTTGAAGCATACCTTGTCACTAACAACCCTTCCCTTTCTTTTCCCCCTCTTCCCTTCTTCTTGTTAGCCTGTACTCTGAATTTATTTAGAAGAGCTGTGAAGACCTGGTCCTTCACCCAGGTTTTTAGTGAGGGAAAGTGAGAACCCTCCTTTATCATGCTTGCCATATTTTTTTCTTCATTTTAAAAAAAGGTTTTATAACTTATTTGATTATTATGAGCCACCCTCCGTGTCCGTTCCTCCAGAAGCAGCAAATGGGAGAAAGGCTCAGTTTGCATGTACTGTACTCTATTTGCACGATCTGAGTTCCTGACATAAATTTCCTTTCCAATATTGATTAGCATTGATTAAATAAATAGATAAATTAATGAACAGGATGGTAAGACTGGATGAGCTTGGGTTCCAATTCCGAGTGATGTCCTTGTTCCCCTTTTGGCATTTCCTTGACTATTTACCAGAAGAAACCGGTCCCACCAAGAACGATGTTGAAAGAGCAGCTGGTGATCTGCAAATAACTGGAATGAAACTGATCCAAGTGAAAATCCATTAGCACATAAAGTCTCACAGCTGGTTGATTTCTCTCCAACCCAGCTACGCAACCTGTAGAGAGAAGGAGATAGGGAGAGGCTTGCCCATCGCAACGTTGGCTCATTAGCTTGAAAAAATATGTGCAAGCCACACATGAGCACTCAAAAGAATGGGTTTGTCTCAGGAAGCAACTGGTACACATGGTGGGAAGGTTATAGGGGACTTACAGAAAATACCAAATTACCAGGTGTTCCACGTTTGCAGAAGTACAAATAAAATCAAAATGAACTTAAATGTCTGAGAATGGCTACAAGACAAATATTTTTTATAAACCATGTAGAACTAGACCTTCAACAGAGATGTTACCTATTTCACGTTATATGAAATGCAGGAAAGAAATCATTTGGAATTAATAGACACACTAAGTCCTCTCCTTAACCAATGTCTTTGTATTTATAAAACAATTTGCCACAATTACCTGTATTCTTTCATCAGGTATCTGCAATGTTTCTCTTTGGCTGAAATTTGTCAATGCAGCAGATTTCCTGGCACGTTCTGCTCTGAGTAATATATAAAAAGGAACAATGACAGAAGGCTCTAGATGCGAAAAGAAATCAGTGGTGTGATAATTTATGGGCAAGACAAACGGGCACTAAAAAGAAATGATAGCGTAGCGCAAGTCTTTGCAATTCTCTTTCCCACATGAGACCCTCTCGGCAAACCTATCGCTGCTTAATTCCATAGCTACTGATTCAGTCCTGTCTTGTCCTTTCCATTCCCCCATTAAAGAAGGACGTGCTCCATTAGAGGTTGTCGATAAAGGAAAATATTGCGCAGCTTCAGTCTCGAATATCCAATTGTGAGATACTGCCTTTTCAGCAGCACTCGGGGAAGATTGCACTAGCAAGAGGCCAAGAGAGCAAGCCGAGAAAGGAAAACGCCTAAAAAGCAAGGCACTTTTCCCCGTTTGCTTAATCCTCCCTTAAACCCCCTTTCTTCATGACTCCCGCCTCATCGGGGCTGCTGGAAAAGGAATCACACCACTGCCAAATGAAGGCCATTGAAGGAATATCTCAGACAAGTATCTTAAGGGAATTAATTTCATCACCACAAGAAAATGCTAAGAACAACAGAATGCCCAGCCATGAAGACAGGTAGTCCTCCACTTAAGACTACTATTGAGCCCCAAATTTTGGTTGTTAAGTGAGGATATTTGTTAAGTGAACTTTGCCCCACTTTATGACCATTCTTGCTACAGTTGTTAAGTGAATCACTGCAGTTAAGTTAGTAACAATGGTTGTTAAGTAATTGATTTTGATTTTGATTTTGCTTGTCAGAAGCTCACAAAACATGCAGCCAACATAAATATGAACCAGTTGCCAAGCATCCGAATTTTGATCATATGGGGATGCCACAAAAGTCCTAAGTGTTGTTTTTTTATGGTGGATTATGCAAAATGTTTTTAAAAATGGATAAAGTTTACCCCTCAGTTATTCCTGTTAGGTATAACTACTGATTGTACTGTTATAGAGACTAACTTGATTTTGTATTTAATAACGGCAGCAAGACTGCCGTTGGTGGCACAATACTGGAAGAAGGAAGATTTACCTACTATTCAAGAATGGACATTAAAAATAACAAANAATACTGTACAAAGTTTACTTGGGGCACTTCGGCATCATCAGGGGAGGCCCAGAGGTGGGTTCCTACCAGTTCGCACCTATTCGGTAGAACCGGTTCGTCAAATCTACCGAACCGATTAGAAGAGGTTCCACCAGTGGACCCAGAAAGCAGGCCACACCTACAGAAGAGGTTCCAAAAATTTTTGAAACCCACCACTGGGGAGGCCTATTGGTTGCCCTGCTAATAGTTCTCGGTGAAAATAAGTGGAAAAGGTTGTTTTGATGACACTAATAAGTTTTTGAACACCCTGGGGGAAAAAATGTTGCAATGCAGACTGGTGATTCCTCCCCTTACTACCTACCAAATATCAGGCATTTTAGTTTTTTGTTATTTAGTCTATTTTATCCATTCTTCTGCAGCAGTTTTATTCTGTTTTAGCTTTATGTTTCATATTAATAATAATTTGGTTTTCAAAAAAGAAGGTGCTGATTTGCAAAAAAAAAAATCAATGTGTACATAAAATCTATCCTAGAGAGTGAATTTAAAGTGCCATAGGCTCTTCTAAAGTGGCAGAAATCTATCTGGCTGGGAGTATAAAAATTCCAATAGAGTTTCATCCTCATCAATTTTCTTCTGCAAATATTATAGACTCTTCTGTTAATCAGCCATGCTAAATAACAAGTCAAAATTAGTCGTGGCTTTCTAATTCAGATTTTCCATTGAGGCTTGACAGATTTTCACTGAACCGTTCATGAAATTTTCATGATGTGAATGGTTATAAATGACCATCAGTTCCATGGCTTGAGAAGGAAGAGGTCCTTTTGATTTATTCACGCAGCAATAGATTTTCTGCTTTCCAAGGGAATACTGGGCTTTCTTCAGTATAGATTATTTAAAAAAAAAGTAATGCTAAACATAGGTTTCCCCTGTAAATTGTCAGGCAGTTAGATTAGAAAGCCAAAAAATGTTCAATGAGAAAGCAAGGGCAAGCCATCAGCTTAATGCTATCGAGAAAGTTACATGGATGTGTTCATAAAGTCATTGGGGACTGACCATGACTCAGAGGGATTTTTTAGTTTTGGAGGAATGCAAAACAATCTCAGATCAGAATACTTCATCCTCGTGTTGTCCTATTCCATGATTCTACAATGACCTTTCCAGGTATGCTGGAAACGGATTAACCCTCACATGGATTGCTCCAACCTTGAACCTCTTTAGTGACATTCCCTAACCATTCTGCTTTCCTCTAGATTCTCAATGCAGTCTTGCTTGCTTTCTTGGCTCCCTCACTGTATCCATCTGATAGACATGATCAGTGGTGGCATTCAAATATTTTAACAACCGGTTCTCTGCCCCAATGACCAGCTGGGTAGGCAGGGCTTGGTGGTCATGTGACCGTGTGGGTGTGGCCAACTCAACTTCATTCAGGTCAAGGGACGCTTCACCTTAGCTGTGACAGTGTAATAAGGGTTAACCAGAGAGGCAGTTTCTGTAAGCAGGTCAATAAAGATGAGGCTAGAAACAACACCAGAATGTCTCCTTCCTGCCTTCCTTACAGGATTAGCCCTGTAAAGTGATAAAAAAACAAAAGAAGATTTCTTCCAACAGCCGGTTCCCCAAACTGCTTAGAAAGTTAACAACCGGTTCTCCCGAATAGGTGTGGACTGGCTGAATCCCACCACTGGACATGATTCAGAAAAGCTTTTCTTAGAAAAAAAATTAACTTGTGATTCTGCTGCCCTAATATCTTCATATTTCCATTTTGCTTCCAGTGACGCTGGTGACCACAAGCAAGTTTACAATATTCTAACCTCTTTTGAGCTGTTGCCCTCTGCAATGGACTGTGACATTGTTCGGATGGCCTGTGAGAGCGTCTCCACCAGGGCTGCCCAGATGTGCTCAGCTGGGCTGGCTGGGGTTATCAATCGCATGAGGGACAGCAGGAACGAGGAGACGCTGAAGATTACAGTAGGTGTTGATGGTTCAGTCTACAAGCACCACCCAAGGTGAGCCCTTGACACCACCTTGGTTTCCTTTTTAAAAAATATAATTTTTTATTGAAGATTACAATAGAAATGGAAAGAAAGAAAAGATTGTAAAGAAGTAGCTTCCGATCTTTTTGACAGCATTTATATTTTACTCTCCCTCCCTCCCTCCCTCTAAGGTCACATCATAATTTCCTTCTTACTAAACTACTCTTTCTAATCTTCAGACTCATAAATCACAAGTTCATTTCTCTCTTTTTTTCCAGCAAAAAAAGCCATAAGGGGTTTCCAATAAATGTTGTTGTTGATCTGTCTCTAATGAAACAAATTAATTTTGTTATCTCTGCTAGTTCTGTTATCTTCACCAACGGTTCCTCAATTGTTGGTACACTATATTGCCAAAAGTATTCGCTCACCCATCCACATAATCAGAATCAGGTGTTCCAATCACTTCCATGGCCACAGGTGTATAAAATCAAGTACCTAGG